AAACATCCCCAAATGAAACAAAAAAATCCAGCCAGATTTACCTCAGCATCTTAATGTAAAATAACCCACTCCATTTTGTGCATTTTAGCTTCTCAGAAAGCAATGCCTTCCACTACAGAGATGATCAAAAAACCACTGAGGAACCAGATACCCTACATGAAACTCTCCCCAGAATTATAACTATTGGTAACTGATTGTGCAATTCAACCTTCTACTGGTGATAAATTCTGAAAGTTTCAGTGGCTGAGCCTCCTTGAGGACACAACTTACCTTGCAGCAAGAGAATAGATGGCATTGGCAGAAGAAGAAGGTTTTATTTTAGAGTGCTCGCTGTCTGAGCCAGCAGGGAGCCCACCAAGTTGGTTCTGCAAGAAAACACTGTGTCAGACATCACCACCAGCATATGGACGAAGACCAAAAGGCGTATCTTTATTAAGCCTGCTGTGAACATTTTTGGGGTTGTAAAAATGTGCACCGGCACCACCTGTTCGCCTGTAGCCAGTGCATTAGCTCCTTCTCCAGAGGAGGAGATCACCTCACCGCATGGACCCAACTCTATGTCATCTCCTGAGTGGCCTTCGCAAGCCAGGAGGGACAGGGACCTAAACAGGTGGCCGGGTTAACAGTCTGTAGGATTTGCCCATTTTCTCAGGAGTTACAGGATCAAACTCCTAAGTAACCAAGAAGGGCCATGTCTCCCCTGCCTCAAAGGGACCTGCTCAGTCCAGCTCCAAGCAACTCTGTCCACTAGGAATAATTTTGCTATTCCCCTTGGCTTGCTGTTGTTGCCTCTTGTAGCTTTACACATTCCATAATTCCATAAGCCAGCCCCTTTTGTGACCCTGTTCCTTCAAAAGACCGGGGCAAGACACAAATCCAGTTGACTCTCTCCAGCCCTCACCCCCACAACTTCCACAGAGTACACAGGGGATGCATAAATGCTCCCTCTCCAGTGGAGATGCGGACCACCATCTTTGGGGTGGGATAAAGCAGCCTTTCAGGGGTGGTCTGAGCACAAAAGGCAGTGGGAAGCCAGACACATACGCTCACCACCGGAGTGTCCAGGCTCAGAGTACTGCCAAGTCTGTGAGTCTCCATTCTGGAATCCATTTGAGAAGGCAGTGAGAATGGGAGGGAATGGCGGTTCTTCAGCTCCCTACTTGCCCATGTTTCAGTTGGAGCCTTCAGCATTGGTCGCGATGGCCAGAGCTCCCCCTGACGGTTACAGGGCATGGGGGGCAACTTGTCCCTGGAAGGACAATCTCCTGGAGTGCAGGGCAAGGGTCGTCTCTGGGGCCGACTCTCTGTTCCAAGGGCGTGTGGCCTGTCTGGAGGTGGAGGTGGTGGAAGATCTCGGTGAGTTGGTGGGATCGGCAGAGGTTTATCTTTGTGAAGAGAACCAGGCGCAGCCTATAAAATAATGGAAAGCCTTTCAAGCAACTGTCTATAATTTGATTATCCATAGCAGGCAACTGATGGAGGAAAGGGAACATTGGGGTGCACACCACACAGCCAAAAGTTTGTACGGATCCACAACACTCTATCAACATGGGCAGGAAGAAGTGGGACCCTGGCTGAAAAACCAGTCAGTCGAGGCTGTCAATCTGACTCTCCATTTAACTAAACGAATACATTAGCAAGGGTGATGAAGCAGCAATAAGAGGGAAAGGGGAAAAGTCCACAGTGCCAGTGAAGAAAAACTTGATTAATCAAGCCCAATGTGTTTCAGACAGACATCTTTCCAAGGGCCCCTTGTCAGTCTACAAGATCTACAACAGAGCTAGTACCTTAGAAGTGGTTCCTGGGCTTGAAGCGCCAGGTGGGTTGGACGCACGCTGCTGCTGCTGCAGAAGGTCCAACCTTGGAGGTACTGGGGGAAGTGCTGCCTGTGGAGTCATTGAAAATGGAGAAGGTGGACGCTCTACCTGAAGAGATGCCAAAAGGAAACTGAATTAAAACATTTAAAAAATCCAGTCTAACAATCAAGTTCCCATTACTTTGGCATTTCAAGTCATCTTCTCTTCAACTCAAGTGAGAGGACTGCTGTTTATCTCTACTGAACATATATGAGCAAGTTCTTGTCCTCCGTTAATTCCAATACTTCAGCAATAACAAGGTCTGCTTTGAAGAGAATTGTTCTGTCACCAATTAATCTCCACACTATACTTGAACTGGACTTGCAGTGGGGATAGTTTTTAAAACCAACAGATGGCCAACACTGTCATCTTAAGTACAGCTGCCAGCTGATGTGCAACTTGGGCACAGGCATGGAATTTGTCTCTGTTGGGACGCAGCAATGCCAGAAATCATTAACAGGTACCCAGCATGGCAGAAAACAAAATGGGCCCACATATTAGGCAAATCAAAGGCTGCATGTCAACAAACCAGGACAGCTTCGGCAAAGGCTAAACCTTCTATGCTAGTAAGGAATTCATCATTCAAGTAGATGCTCAAGGAGCAACGTCGCTCGCCAGCACCCCTCAAGCACAAGGAGACAGTATCAACAAGCTCAGCTCTAGGGTGGGCAGGTACGAAGGACAGCAGAAACCAAGAAAACGCACACACGTGCACCCCGCCAAATTGAGCTCTGCGTTGCTTACAAACTGCTGGGAGGAAATACATCAGGACGGAGCACAGAGTGGGCAGGACTACTCACTGCAACATTTTACTGCAAAGCTCCCAGCCAACTGCCAATTATAGACATTAATATTGACAATAATACTGACATTCAGTTAAGGTGGAATGCTGACAACAGTCTGAAACCAAGTGCTGGAAAACCTATGGAATCCTGGTGCGTGTGATTCACAGGGCCACACTGAAGCAAAGCATATCTGGAATGGTTCAGGGTCTGTACAGAAGACCACTCTGAGGCCCCTGGTGGTTGCATCTATCTATCTATCTATCTATCTATCTATCTATCTATCTATCTATCTATCTATCTATCTATCTATCTACCTACCTACCTACCTACCTACC